GTTCATCCTCTACGTTTGATGGCATGTACTTCATCTTGTCAAAGTTGATTTCTAGGCCTATGCACTTCGTGGCCCTGTAGATATTCTCCATAAGTGTGGCCAGTTCTTCTCTACTTCCAGCTATCACTACTATGTCGTCGGCAATCATGAGGTGGTTGAGCTTTTCCCCATTAATATTAATGCCTCTGTTTTGGAGGTCGATTGTTTTCAATGCGTCTTCCAGAACTAGTGTGAAGAGCTTGGGTGACATAGGGTCTCCTTGGCGCACCCCCTCTTAATTACAACTTCGTCAGACTTTTCGTGTAGCTGGATTTGTAGAGTCGCGTTGCGGTAAATGTTATTAAAATAAACTGTAGGTTTGCGTGTCTGTGGTCTATTCTGGCATGTTTCGGGGCTTGCTGTAGTGCCCATATTTCCACCGTGTTGAAAGCCTTTCTAAAATCAATGAATGCTAGCCATAAAGGTGTATTGTATTACACCGTCTTCTCGATTAGTGTTCTCATTGTTTGCAGTTGTTGCTAAACCCAGCCTGCTCTTCTGGCTAGTAGTATTCTAACTTTGGTGTGAGACGGTTGGTTATTATTTTCGAGAATAATTTATATATTTGGGGTAGCAGGCTGATCGGTTTGTAATTTTCTAGGTTCTCGCGCGGTGTCTCCCTTTTTGTGAATGATTGTTACGAGAGCGTTTGTCCAGTCCTGTGGTGTGTCCTCCTTTTCCAGGCATTTGTTGAACTGCAATTCTAGTTGATCCTCTAGTATATATCTCCGCCTTTTTTTTTAAACATTTCCGTTAGTATGCCGTCTTCGCCTGCTGCTTTCCCGTTTTTCATATGATGTAATGCTAGTCTGATTTCTTTTTTTGTAATTTCAGGTATGTCTTCAGAGTTGACGCTCATGTCTTTCACTTCCTGGTCTTGTTCGGATATGTCGCTAGTTACTTTCGTCTCGTATAGGTCTGCATAGAATTCTTGTACCGTCCTTATAATGTCGTGTCTTTCCTCGATTCTTTGTCCTGTTTTGTCTTTGATGCTGACAATTTCTTTCGTTGTGTTCGTCGTTAGTCTTCTGAACACTTTCGTCCCTTTGTGCGTTGTTCCAGTACTTTCTGTTGTGAATATGCTGGGTGGAATACATTTTTACACTTTGTGCATTTAGCACTAGCTACCACTTTTTTCTGCTGTTTGGTTTTCTTTGCTGAGTTTAATAATCTGTCCCAAACAGCAGAAATCAAGAGACGGAGTTAGATTAGCTTGGCCAGCATTCGGTAAATTAAGCTACATCTTGAAAAATAGAAAATATCCACAATACCTCAAATCCAAAGTTTATAATCAATGTATACTTTCTGTTCTCACTTATGGATCCCAAACATGGACACTTACAAAGTCAAACATGGATAAAATAACAAAAGCACAAAGATCAATGGAAAGACAAATGTTACATGTGAAACTGATAGATAAAAAGTGGAGCGAGTGGATAAGAAATAAAACAAGAGTAAGAGACGTTAGAAAGGAGGTAGCAAAATTAAAATGGAAATTCGCAGGTCACAATATCAGACAAAAAGACGACCGATGGAATAAATGTATCTTAAGCTGGAGACCTTCGGAGAATAAAAGAAGTAGAGGAAGACCCCAGATAAGGTATGCTGATGACCTGAAGAAGCACGCTGGATCCAGGTGGATGAACATGGCAACAGACAGAGAAGAATGGAGAAGACTGGGGGAGGCCTATATCCAAAGATGGACTGAAGAAGGCTGAATAGATAGATAAATAGACCACTTTTTTATCACAATGAAAACACACATTTTCCGTTTTTTTCTTTACTTGATTTTCGGCGTTATTACTACTTGCCATGTTGCTTATTGTTTGTAAGGGTACAAAGGGTACAACCCTTAGATTATGTACAACCCCCTTTACCTTCCCCGTTATTATGAATCTAATCCCATTTAAAGTTTTTGAATAATTGTCATCTGATTATTCAATTTTGTATATTACCGTATAAATGTGCATTCGTAGGTCGATTGAGTGTACGCCACTAGTGTCACTCTGTTTCTTACAGCCCCCTAAATCTTCCTTGTTAGTATGAATCTAATCCCATGTATAGTTTTTGAATAATTGTCACCTGATTATATAATTTTGTATATTATTGTATAAATGTGCTACGTAGATCGAGTATACGCCACTGGTGTCACCCTGTTTTTGACAATCCCCTTAACCTTCCTTATTAGTATGAATCTAATCCCATGTATAGTCTTTGAATTGTCATCTGATATTTTTGTCTATTCCCGTAAAGTAATAAAGTGAATTCAAGAGCCGAGAATAGACAAAAATTGAATCTGACATGGTGTTGAATTATCACTTATAACTTCATAAATTCAAAATTAAGTCAAATACAACTATGTAGAGTTAGAAAGAGGATTAAATTGTCTACAAAATGGCACAAGACTACATCAAGTTGCTTTAATTGTTTAGGAGATATAAGGCTCCAAATTTGAGACTTAGTCAAGATTTGGCATAAAACTTAAAGTAGCTCCAAAACTAAGCATTATAGCTAAATCGTTCATGGGACCTTTTTGTAGCATTTGACGAGAACTACAATCTGGTAGAAAAATCAATTCGATACCTTTCACGGTTACCGAAATTTTGATGTTTGAAAATTTGTAAAAGGAAATCCTAAGGGTTTGGAAAAAAATTACCAAATATTTTTTTTTTTTGGAAAATTTTGATTTTTAGGGATAAAATTGATCAATTGGGTTTTAATTAAATGCGTTTTTGATACAAATAAAATTGGAAACACATTATTAAGTAAATTGCCCATTTAAGTCTAAAAAAGCTCATTTTTCCAAATCCTGACATGGTGTTAAATGATCACTTATAACTACATTAATTCTAAATTAAGTCAAATAAAACTATATACAGTTGGGAAGAGGATTAAATTCTCTGCAAAATGACATAAGATTTATTCAAGAAGCTTTAATTGTTTAGGAGATATAAATTCTGGCTTTTGAAAAATCAAGTTTTGAACTAGTACAAAAGTCTGATTTTTGAACAAAGCTAAAATTTAACTTTTTTAGAATTTATTTTTGAACTTTTGACTAAATCAAGAGTTTTGAAACTGAAGTTAGTTCAACTGAAAAGGTGTGAAAATTTTATTCCCGGCTTTTGTAAAGCCAGATTTGAACTGAAGAAGTACCTAAGTAGGTATAAATGTATAACTCTTGTTCAATGAAAAAACAATGTAGTTTTGCTATAATTGCTATTTCTTCAATCAAGCAAGTAGGTACCTCTTTTTAAAAAATTAGAAGACAAAATATAGATACAATTCAATATAGTGAAAACATCCAGCTATGGATTTCAATAATTCAATACCGTGTACCTATAAAAATAAAAAACATTTCTATTCAACCATCTAATCGAAAGTGCAAATCTTCCTATTTACAACCACAATAAATATTGACATTAATTTTTCTTAACAATGCGACTCATTATAAGCAAAGTACCATCCAGTAGTAAGCCACCGATAAATTTTATTGCAGCCGCTCAAATATTTGGTTTTAATTGTTTGAATTGTTTCGCTGTTCCGTGATTAATCGAGCATTTAACAATGTGACTGTGCCGAAGGGTGACATAAGATTTGTAATTGCGTTCCCGAATAATAAACATATGGCAAAAGTTTTAAGATCAAAGATTTTTTTCAGTCATCATCATACTCATCATGGACAGGTATTGTTGTTTTATCTTTGATTAGATGGTACTTGTACTTGTAATAATTTTAGTTTTAATCTATATAATTTAAACTTTGATAATAATAATTATAAGTACAAAAGATAAATGCCACTTATTTTGTCTTTACTTATATAGGTATACAAAAACTTATTTTATTTCTTCAAAGTCTTTATCAGGGTATTTAAGTAGGTACTAATTGCTTTAGTTATTACTTATTTATTTGTTGGGTTTATTCAGCGTTTACATGACTAAAATGGTTAAAAGAAAAGGTTTCAATAGTTATTCTTATGTGAGTATTATGTTAAGTTTTATATACTAAATGTTAGAGATGTTCGAAAGCAAATAATGTTTTATATATTATAAGTAGATTATTGTTACTATAAAAATCCACAGATGAGTTCATGGAGCAGACCAATAGCCCGGCTTTGTCCAACAAAGATATTCTTCAAACTTACTCCGAACAAAATCGTCCTTTTGTACGTCACAGCATTGCGTCTGATGTACCGTTGGAAGGCAAAAGAAGACGTTCTTTTCTGAATCTTAAAATACCAGAAAAACACGAATGTAGTTCTAGTTTTTCATCTAGCTGGCGTGGATCGTTAACTCACTTAGGTTTGCCTTCATTAACTTTGACGTCACCCGATGGAGACACTGGAAGGAAATTCAGTTTTGGAATTGGATTCAGAAGACATTCTCATAACGTTAGTTGGAGAGTGTGAAGTTTTAATCTACTAACTTTTTATTGCTTGAAATTCACTAATGATTGTTGTGATCAAAGTCTATGTATATCATGTCAAGTGTTGTTTAGATGTTTAAATTTGAGATGTACTTACTAATGACAATAGAAATCTGATGCATTTTAAATGCTAGATGGTGATAAATAAAATATTGTTCATCCAACAACCTTTACAATTTGGATCAAATACTTTTTTGAATGGCCCTTGTATTATCGTCATCATAAATAAAAATTTCCTTATGCCAACAAAGAATATTATCGTTTATATTTCCAATGTTTGTTTTGTATTTCATTACCTAATTTGAGCTCGAGAAAGGTAACATTACACGTACTGCTATTGTTAAATTTGCTTTATACCGTGCATACATTATGTCCAGAACACAAATAATCAAAAAGGTAAGGAGTTTAGTAGATCATGAAATGATTTCCTCTAAAATGTATTTTTGTTGTAAGCACAATATTTATTGAATTAACCCAATAAAGCATGCCCAAATAAATAAGATTCTAAATAAAATCTAAGTTTCAATGTTCTTTTGCAGACGCTCCACAAAACTGAGTCGATGGTATCGCTATGCTTTCAATCACTGATATCATTCGTCAACAACGACAATTTACCAGGCCTCCAATCCTATCTAGAAAACAAACAAATCCAAATAGATGACAAAGATGAGGTGAGATTTTTTTCATTCTAGAAGTTTTATATGTCTATTTAATGTTCAAATACATAATTCATATGTATTATTGTTTTAGAATGGTACGACGGCGCTTATGGTGGCATCCACCAAAGGTAAAGGGGCTTTCGTAAGAGAACTTTTGACTCACGGAGCGGATCCCAACGCAGAGGACAATGATAATTGGACAGCGTTGCTTTGCGCCGCTAAAGAAGGACACTACGATATCGTTTTGCAATTGCTGGAGCAAAATGCTGAAATCGATCATAGGGATATGGTCAGTATAATTATTATAATTTCTGGTCAATGATACTGTACTTCTGACCCTTGGTACATGAATGAATATACAAAGTCACAGTAATTTGCAAAATTTCAATTGAGATTTCATGGTAAAACAGGGGCGGACAGTACACACACCTTTTGGAGTGTTAAATACATCATATACATACAATATTTTTGGTACTTTCTTTCTGAGCACCAGACATGCACCAGATTGGTTTTATTCAATAAAAAGACCCTTATTGACTGATGAATTCTGAAAGCTTCCTTTCAATTTGACGGCTTGAACTAGTTTTCAGAAGCTTCCAACAGGGATTTTACAAGTAGGTATTCTAAGTATTGCTGTGACGAAAATAATAATTTTTCTCTTCCTGGGTATCAAATTTGATATTAATTTATTCTGTTCAATAGAAAGATAGACCCTGAAAATTACAATGTATAAGTTTCTCAAGATCACATTGTAAAAATTGCATTTTGTTAAAGAGGGTACCATCAACTGGCCAAAAAAAGAAAAGTACTCCAAGCAATCAGAGGGACCTCAAACTTTCAGGATTTATTGATTAGGGTTTTTTTATCGAGCAAAACAAACCACAAGTGGATCTCAGACTCAGAAATAGAATTATGATTTTTTTTCTCACTTAGATACAAAAAAATCATGTGAAATTTCTATTAAATCACTTTTGGAAGCTTCTGTTTTTCAGGGGTTTTTGTGAAAATAGGGACATTTTCACCCTAGTGTCGGGTACAAATGGTACTGGAAGTTATAGACAGTACCAAGATACACCGTTTTTTTCTGATGATTCTCTATAGGGTTCAACATTCATCTTTATGATAGTTCATATTTTAATAATTATTACCGGCTCTTGATCACTCTTGCAAAATGATGTAACAAATGGAAATTTTACTTGGTTCTTGATTGAGGCAAGAAAAAGTTTGAGATTTACCAAGTAGAAATTGTTCAAATTTTGCTTTACAAGTGTCACATGCATATTTTATTCGTTCGAATTTTGCTTTACAAGTGTCACATTCATATTGCATTTTTGTTTAAATTATGTCACTAATTATGATATGTAGTTCATATGTTGATTTTTATCGGCTCTTGATCACCCTTGGAAAAATGATGTAAAAATAAAAATTTTATTCGGTACTTGATTGAAGCAAGATGAAGTTTGAGATTTACCAAGTAGAAATTGTTCAAATTTTGCTTTGCAAGTGTCACATTCATATTGCCTTTTTGTTAGAATTTTGCTTTGAGAGTATCACATTCATATTGCCTTTTCTTCCAAATTTTGCTTTGCAAGTATCACGTCACATTATCACATTCATTTTGTGTTTTGGTTTTAATTGTGTCACTACTTATGATAGTTCATGTTTTGATTATTACCAGCTCTTGATCACTCTTGGAAAAATAATAAAACAAATGCAAATTTTATTTGGTACTTGATTGAGGCAAAAAGAAGTTTGAGATTTACCAAGTGGAAATTGTTCAAATTTTGCTTTGCAAGTGTCACATTCATATTGCCTTCTCATATGAATTTTGCTTTGCAAGTGTCACATCACATTCATATTGCATTTTTGTTTCAATTGTGCCATGAGAACAGACCTGTTTGAAAACAGTTCCGTTCCGAAAAAAATCTAGAAAGAATAATGGAGGGCTTTATCCCAGTTAAAAATCAGTTTTTATTTATATTTCAAATTTTGCTTTGCAAGTGTCACATTCATATTGCGTTTTTGTTTAAATTGTGTTACTAATTATGATAGTTCATATTTTTATTATTACCGGCTCTTGATCACCCTTGGAAAAAAGATGTAACAAATGGAAATTTTATTTGGTACTTGATTAAGGCAAGAAGAAGTTTGAGATTTACCAAGTAGAAATTGCTGAAATTTTGCTTTGCAAGTATCACATACATATTGCCTTTTCGTTCGAATTTTGCTTTGCAAGTGTCACATCACATTGTCACACTCATATTGCATTTTTGTGTAAATTGTGTTACTACTTACTCTGCTCCAACCGACATGAGAACTGTTTTCGAACGGTCACGTCCAGTCGATCAATTCATTTGTCAAGTGTAAAAGTAAACGTTCAACTTATTGAAAAATAGGTGGGCAACTGGAAATTACTGGTTCTGGAACGGTTGTTCTTATGTAGGTTGGAATAGAGTTGATAGTTCATATTTTGATTATTACCGGCTCTTGATCACCCTTGGAAAATGATGTAACAAACAAAAATTTTACTTGGTAAGTAGTTGATTGAGGTAAGAAGTTTAAGATTTACTAAGTAGAAATTGTTCAAATTTTGTTTTGCAAGTGTCACATTCATTTTGCTTTTCCGTTTGAATTTTGCTTTGCAAGTGTCACATCACATTGTCACATTCATGTTGCGTTTTTGTTTAAATTGTGTCACTACTTATGAAAGTTCATATTTTGATTATTACCGGCTCTTGATCACCCCTGGAAAAATGATGTAAAAAATGGAAATTTTACTTGGTAGTTGACTAAGGGCCAAATTATGGACCAACTGGTAAGTGTATGTTTGTTACCTAGCAGGTACTTTCTATTCACTAGTGCATAGAAAGTACCTGCTAGTTAACAACCAGACGTTTACGAGTCAGTCCATAATTTGACCCTAAGGCAAGAAGAAGTTTGAGATTTACCAAGTAGAAATTGTTCAAATTTTGCTTCACAAGTGTCACATCTATTTTGCCTTTTCGTTCAACTTTGCTCTGCAATTGTCACATCACATTGTCACATTCATATTGCATTTTTGTTTAAATTGTGTCACTACTTATGATAGTTCATATTGTGATTATTACCGGCTCTTGATTACCCTTGGACAAATGATGTAACAAATGGAAATTTTACTTGGTACTTGATTAAGACAAGAAAAAGTTTGAGATTTACCAAGTAGAAATGTTACCGGAATTTGTGTCGTTTGCCTTTCCCCTCGCTTTACTATACAAGCTACAATCACCAAACTCGGCGCATAACTGTTTTTCGACTTGGGCTACCTGTCAGTGTCAAAAAAAAAATTGACAGCTGTCAATGTCAAAAAAGTTTTTTTCCAATTTTCAATAAAAAAAAATTACGATAGTCAGAAAACGTTTCTTCGACCCCAAAAACCCTAAAAAAAAATTGACATTGACATATGTCAAAAAATGACAGCTTGACAAGGCCAAAAGTCTTTTTTGACATATGTCAAATTTAAACAACGCATTCGGATAGAATTTTCGACGCTAAAAATTTTGGTAATATTGACGGATGTCGCCTGTCAAATTTAACATATGTCTGCCTCTCTTTCCGCTTTACCATATAAGCTACGACCACCAAACTTGGTACATGACGGTTTTATGTTGTCAACTATCTGTCAGTGTCAAATTTTTTTGACAGTTGTCAACGACAAAAAAGTTTTTTTTCAATTTTCCTTTTTTCAAAACAAAAAATGGCGGATAACGATTACCCGACCCCATCGATATATGTCAAAAATTGACAGCTTGACGGCAAAAAACGTGATTATTTTGACAGGTGTCAAAATTCGATGATACAATTAAATATATAGATTTTGTTGTTCGACATTTTTTTGACAATAGCAAATGTCATCATATCATATCAGCTTGTCATTTTTCGACGTTGACACTTGTCAAAATTGATGATGGAATTTTTTTTGTATTTTTTATTTGTTCCTCGATGTCGAATCTATATGAATACACTATTTGATTTTAAATGGTGGTGGGTGATGTGAATGGATCGCTTTCGCGTTTTAAGATGTCGCGTCTCTCCACCTAGTAGTCTACTAAGAGAGAAAACGCGTAAAACTTTATATTATAAAGGCCGGTTCCACACTGTGGGTAAAATGAAGGCCGGATTCACATCTTGCATCCTGCGGACATTGAGGGAATAAAGGCCGTTTCCACATTGTGTGTGAAATGAAGGCCGGATTCACATCTTGCATCCTGCGGACATTGAGGGAATAAAGGCCGGTTCCACATTGTGGGTGAAATGGGGGCCGGTTCCACACTATTAAACCTTCTGACATAGAGGAGATGAAGGCCGGTTCCACACTGTGGGTGAAATGAAGGCCGGATTCAAATTGTTCAAAATTTTGCTTTGCAAGTGTCACATTCATTTTGCCTTTTCGTTCGAATTTTGCTTTGTAAATGTCACATCATATTGTCACATTCATATTGCATTTTTGTTTAAATTGTGTCACTACTTATGATAGTTCATATTTTGTTTATCACCGGCTCTTGATCACCATTGGAAAAACTATGTAACAAATGGAAATTTCACTTGGTTATTGATTGAGGCTTAAAGAAGTTTGAGATTTACCAAGTAGAAATTGTTCAAATTTTGCTTTGCAAGTGTCACATCCATGTTGTTTTTTTCGTTCGAATTTTGCTTTGCAAGTCTGACATCACATTGTCATATTCATCTTGCATTTTTGTTAGAACTGTGTCACTACTTATTATAATTCATATTTTGATTATTACCGGCTCTTGATCACCCTTGAAAAAACGACGTGACAGATGAAAATTTTACTTGGTACTTGATTGAGGCAAGAAGAAGTTTGAGATTTACCAAGTAGAAATTGTTCAGATTTTGCTTTGCAAGTGTCACATCACATTGTCATATCCATATTGCATTTTTGTTTAAATTAATTGTTTCACTACTTATGATAGTTAGTTATGTGAAGAAAATATGTAATCCTTTGTCTCTTTTTGGGTATCAGATTTGCTTCCAATTTTTCTTATGCAATAAAAACTGATGGATCCTGAGAATTTTAATTCACTCTCACTGAACTATTTTTCTCAAGTTTTCAAATGCTTATAGGCAGCAATCATACTGCCCCTCTTGACTTAACATTGTCAATATCATTATTACAATTCCTCATACATAAATACTCAGTTTATAGAGAATAATTTTAATCCAGGGTGGTTGGACAGCTCTTATGTGGGCAACCTACAAAGGACACACAAACATCGCCGTGCATCTGCTGGACAGAGGGGCCGAAGTCAACGCTCACGGAAACTTCCACATATCGTCCTTGCTGTGGGCCTCAGGAAGAGGATATTTAGAAGTAAGTACCATTTATGTCAAATAGATCCATTTACTTAAACAATTATTTTTTAGATTGTTAGATCCCTAATAAATCACGGAGCCAAAGTGAATGTTGGAGACAAATATGGTACTACCGCTTTAGTGTGGGCAAGCAGAAAAGGACACACTGAAATTGTGGAACTATTGCTAAGAGCTGGTAATAATTATTGTATAAGTAAAACCTGTTTAAAACAACTATTTATTTTTTAGGAGCCAATGTGGATACAGCTGGTATGTACTCATGGACAGCCTTAATTGTAGCCACCTATGGAAATCATGTAGATGTAGTTAATCTACTCTTGGAACACAAACCCAACGTTAACGCTTTAGATAAAGACGGCTGTAGTCCATTGACCATAGCGTGCAAAGAAGGCTATTACGATATTGCTACAGCTCTATTACAAGCAGGAGCTTACATTAATATCCAAGATAGAGTGGGAGACACTAATTTAATTCACGCAATTAAAGGCGGCCACAAAAACGTAGTGGAAGCTTTAATTAAAAAATACGCTGATGTTGATATTGTGGGCAAAGACAAAAAGTCAGCTATTTATGTAGCTGTTGAAAAAGGCAACGTGGGTATTGTTAAGTTGCTTTTCAAACAAAATCCCGATTTGGAAAATGCTACCAAAGATGGCGATACGCCTTTATTAAAAGCTGTACGAAATCGGTAAGAACTATTCATATTTATTATAAGCATAATAATATAGTTAATTATAGTAACGCAGAAATAGTTCAATTGCTGTTGGAAAAGAAAGCCAAAGTGTCAGCTACAGATAAAAAGGGCGATACTGCGCTTCATATAGCTATGAGGGCAAGGTCTAAAGCTATAGTGGAAATTCTTTTGAGAAACCCCAAGCATAGCCAATTGTTATATCGGCCTAATAGAGCTGGAGAAACACCTTACAATATTGATATGAATCATCCCAAGACAATACTTGGACAAATATTTGGAGCAAGTAAGAATTTTTGTTGTTTTGCTATAGGTAACTTTTTTAAGTTTTTATTTAGGACGATTGAACAGAAACGAAGACAATGAAAATATGTTGGGGTACGATTTGTACAGTAGCGCTTTGGCTGATATTTTAAGCGAGCCTTGCTTATCGATGCCTATAACTGTGGGCTTGTACGCTAAATGGGGTAGTGGCAAAAGTTTTCTTTTGACTAAACTAAGAGGTAAATGAATTTGTTTCATAATAGGTTTGTTGCAACACAGTAGAAAATCGTACAGTGTACCGTCACGATTTTGCGCAAAATGTGAAATTTGTGCGTAGAACCACTCATGGGACGGTTTTTTGACGTGTGTTGGAACAAACCTATTATAGAGCTGCAATGATTATCAAAGCTGTTTTTTTAGAGGAAATGAAAAATTTTGCAAGAGAATGGCAAGATCCATCGTTTCAATTCAGTGGCCTACTGTTGCTGATAATCTTACATCTTTCAATAATCGTTGCTACTGTTGTGTACGTTGTAATTGAAGCTACCACTGTGGATTTGCAGCCCGAATCTTGGTCCTCGGCAATCGCTATTGGATTTTTCGTGATATGTTTTGCTTTTCTGGCTTTTATATGGTTTGCAAGCAAAAGGTAAGCATATGTGAATATGAATTGTCAATGTATTTGAATTAAAAAGAAACCTGGCTCTATCTTTTACAATTTCAGCATGTTTTAACTTAAACCTTTAGGTGTGTACAAGGTGTTACAAATTCAGGTGTGAGTGAGGGTGGGTTAAATTGGGGCAAAGCTACACAATTTCTTGTTTACCAAAATGAACATTTCAATCAAAAAAGTATGCAAATTTGTATGGAGATACTCATTTTTGTCAAACAAATTAATTGTTTTCTTCATAAATTTGTCTTGATCAAAATCATTATTTTATTAGTGAGAAAGCAAGTGCATGGCCAGTTCGCGAGTACCTACTTAATAATTTAGTGGTTTTTATCAATTTTGACGTAATATCTCTTACGGATTTCAAGATACTGAAGCTTTTAAAGATTTTCTAATGGATGAGCCTAATGTAGATACAGGCAATAGGGAAGAATTTGAAGATAAATGTTTTCACCTAGTTGCAGAAATTAGTTCTATAACTGACAACATAAATTTGGTTTCTGCATTAACGTAACAGGTTAAATCTTAAGGCATGAAGAAGTTTGAGATTTACCAAGTAAAAATTGTTCAAATTTTGCTTTGCAAGTGTTACATCCATGTTGTTTTTTCGTTGGAATTTTGCTTTGCAAGTGTCACATCACATTATCACATTTATATCGCATGGAGTAACTGATGAAAATTTTATTTGGTACTTGATTGAGGCAAGAAGAAGTTTGGGATTTACCAAGTAGAAATTATTCAGATTTTGCTTTGCAAGTGTCACATCTCATTGTCGTATCCATATTGCATTTTTGTTAAAATTAATTGTGTCACTACTTATGATAGTTCATGTGTGAAGAAAATATGTAGTCTTTAGTCTCTGTGATTCTACAGTCTGTGTCACGCAGAAAGTTAAACTGCCAGAAATTACTACACCACCATTCTGTGGAGATATTTCTCAATGGACTCCGTTTCCTGAACTTTTTGCTACTCTAATGAAAAATGATAACACTCTTTCTCCCTACTCTCGATGAATTGCTAGACATTTTGAATAAATATTGCAAGGTTTTGGAAAATTTAAACCCTTTAGAAATGCGTTCCCATAAACTTGAGCATAAACATTATGTAAAACCCCAAAATAAAATATCTTTGCTTGCAGGAGTTTCCTTCAACTCCACCAATAAAGTTAATACTTCCTCAGAAAATTTTCCCAAAGGTAGTTTAAACTGTCTATACTGTAATGGTACAAATCACATATGCATAAGCTTTAAGAAGCTAAACCCCTCTCCAATGAGTAATTTTGTTTCCACCAAAAGCCTGTGCTTTAACTGTCTAGACAACAAACATAAAGCACTCGAATGCACTTTTCAAGAATGTAGCCACTGCTCCAAAAGACATCACACTCTTCTACACAAACCCCAAAGTTACCAGATTTCCCTAAATAAAAATTCAAACAACTTACAAGGTAATTTACAAAATAGAAATGATGTTGCCTCTCGCTTTTCACATTATAATAATCAAAGAAATCACCAAAATGGCCTAGTCCCATTAGCACACCCCTCTCAAAAACCCCAAACACTGCATAGTGGTTCAACACCCCAAATACTTGAACCATCTAATGATACTCTATCTTCAAAAATCTCTCATGTACTATTGGCCACAGCAATGGTTACATTATACTCAAGGAATGAACAAGCGGTCCAAGCTAGAATTTTGTTTGATTCTGGAAGTCAAAGCTCTTTTATCACTGAGAAACTTGCAAAAAGGTTGCAAAGTAGAACTTATAAAAAAAAAAGGAATAGCTCAAGGCATAACTATGTCTAATGAAATGACAGATCTTATTATCCCCTTTAAAATTTGTCATACAAAAAGTTTTGCGAGGTTTCGTGTGCTGCAAGATTTCGATTTTGATTTTTCACGGCTAAAACTTCAAGTTTTAGGGACTATGTCTATTCTTACATAGATACCTTGAACATTATTCTTTTTTTTTTGACGTTGTGATATACAGGGTGTTCCATCAAAAATAATGGAGAATTTCAATGTTAAAAAACGATTTTTTTTTACTTGCCCTGTATAGGTTTCAAAAAAATTTGCAACTTCTAGAAAAAAACTTTAGACCAAGAGAAATCGAATGGCGCAAACCGCAGGTAACTAGCACACCTGGTTTTTAAAATGGTTCACTTTCGGCTGGGACACCCTGTATAAGAAAAATTGGAATCAAATCTGATACCCAAAAAGAGACAACGGATTACATATTTTCTTCACACATGAACCATCATAAGTAGTGACACAATTAATTTAAACAAAAATGCAATATGGATATAACAATGTGATGTGACACTTGCAAAGTAAAATCTGAACAATTTCTACTTGGTAAATCTCAAACTTCTTCTTGCCTTAATCAAGTACCAAGTAAAATTTTCATCTATTACGACATTTTTCCAAAGGTGATCAAGAGCCGGTTATAATCAAAATATGAACTATCATAAGTCGTGACACAGTTTTAACAAATATGCGATATGAATGTGACAATGCGATGTGACACTTGCAAAACCAAAATTCGAACGTAAAAACAACATGGATGTGACACTTGCAAAGCAAAATTTTAACAATTTCTACTTGGTAAATCTCAAACTTCTTCTTGCCTTAATCAAGTACCAAGTAAAATTTCCATTTGATACATCATTTTTCCAAGGGTAATCAAGAGTCGGTAATAATCAAAATATGAACTATCATAAGTAGTAACACAATTTAAACAAAAATGCAATATGAATGTGACAATGAGATATGACACTTGCAAAGTAAAATTCAAATAAAAAGGTAAAATGCATGTGACACTTGCAAAGCAAAATTTTGAACAATTTGAATCCGGCCTTCATTTCACCCACAGTGTGGAACCGGCCTTCATCTCCTCTATGTCAGAAGGTTTAATAGTGTGGAACCGGCCTCCGTTTCACCCACAATGTGAAACCGGCCTTTATTCCCTCAATGTCCGCAGAATGCAAGATTTGAATCCGGCCTTCATTTCACCCACAATGTGAAACCAGCCTTTATTCCTTCAATGTCCGAAGAACGAAATATGTGAATCAGGCCTTCATTTCACCCACAGTGTGGAACCGGCCTTTATAATATAAAGTTTTACGCGTTTACTCTCTTAGTAGACTACTAGATGGAGAAACGCGACATCTTGAAACGGGAAAGCAATCCATTCACATCACCCACCACCATTTAAAATAAAATAGTGTATTAATATAGATTCGCCACCGAGGAACACATAAAAAATACTATCAACATCATCAATTTTGACAGGTGTCAACGTCAAAAATATGACAAGCGGATATGATATGATGACATTTGCTATTGTCAAAAAAATTTCGAGCAACAAAATCTATATTTGATTGTATCATCGAATTTTGACACTAGTTAAAATAATCACGTTTTTTGCCGTCAAGCTGTCAATTTTTGACATATATCGATGGGATTTTTTATATAGGGTTTTTGGGGTCGGGAAATCGTTATCTGCCATTTTTTTTGAAAAACGGAAAATTGAAAAAAACTTTTTTGTCGTTGACAGCTGTCAAAAAAATTTGACACTATCAGATAGTTGACAACATAAAACCGTCATGTACCAAGTTTGGTGGTCGTAGCTTATATGGTAAAGCGGGGAGAGAGGCAGACATATGTTAAATTTGACAGGTGACATCTATCAATATCACCAAAATTTTTAGCGTCGAAAATTCTATTCGAATGTGTTGTTTTTGGGATCGGAGAAACTTTTTCCTACTATAATTTTTTTATTGAAAATTGGAATTGATACATCATTTTTCAAAGGGTAATCAAGAGCCGGAATAATCAATATATGAACTATCATAAGTAGTAACACAAATTAAACAAAAATGTAATATGAATGTGACAATGAGATATGACACTTGCAAAGCAAAATTCAAACGAAAAGGCAGAATGAATGTAACACTTGTAAAGCAAAATTTGAACAATTTCCACTTGGTAAATCTCCAACTTCTTCTTGCCTCGATCAAGTACCAGATTTCCATTTGTTATATCATTTTTTTAAGGGTGATCAAGAGCCGGTAATAATCAAAATATGAACTATCATAAGTTTGACACAATTTAAACAAAAACGCAATATAAATGTGACAATGTGACGTGACACTTGCAAAGAAAAATTTGAACAATTTCTACTTGGTAACTCTCAAACTTTTTCTTGCCTTAATCAAGTACCAAAGTAGGTATAGTGGCACTTGAGAGTGGGAACCAAATTCAACCATGAGAAAAACTTCATATTGGCGCCATTGATATGAAATTTCGAGAGTTTGGACTTGAACAGACCTGTTTAGAACAGTACCGAGAATAGACCTGTTTAAAAACAGAGTTTCAGTTAATGTGATGTGACACTTGCAAAGCAAAATTTGAACAATTTCTACTTGTAAATCTCAAACTTCTTGCCTCAATCAAATACCAAGTAAAATTTTCATTTATTACATCATTTTTCCAAGAGTGTTCAAGAGCTGGTAATAATCAAAATATGATCTATCATAAGTAGCGAAACAATTTAAACAAAAACGCAATATGAATGTGACAATGTGATGTGACACTTACAAAGCAAAATTCGAACGAAAAGGCAAAATGAATGTGACACTTGTGAAGCAAAATTTGAACAATTTCTACAGCAAGCAATTCATTTATGAATAAGTGGCGCTGAATTTGTACCTCTTTCCTTAAAAAATGAAAATAATGAGAATAAGTACTTTATGCCCCACCATTGTGTGATAAAAAAACAAGTGTTAGCACGAAATTGCGAGTTGCTTTTGATGCGTCCTCTAGATCTTCTTCTCGAATCTAAATAAAGTTGCTCAATCTAATAAAATAGATTATCCATTAGCATCTAATGCTCTTTTATCTCAATGTTATATGGATGATATTCTCTGCTCTTCCAACAATCTTGATGTCCCTGTACAAGACTTATTAGGAGTTGAATACTCTATTGAATTAGTCACAAATGAGTTCGCACAAATGGTCTTCCAACTCTCAAATATTCTTGGATAAGTTCTGTAATAATTCTTACATGACAGAGAAATCTCTAAATTTTGATACACTCAATACTGTCTTAGATCGTCTATCATGGCACCCACTTTCTGATCATTTAATGGCCACACGTATTGTAGGAACTGCTTACCTGACCTTTGAACAGTTTTGTACTGTGCTTACCCAAATAGAGGCTATTTTAAACTCTAGACTTCTTTGTACATTATCAAATGATCCATGTGATCTACGAAGATTAACCCCAGGTCACTTTCTAATTGGTTGTAAAAAAACCTTTCACCCAGAAAAGAATCTCTCAGGTACTGCCCCATATCGTCTCAATTTCTATTTCAGATGCAACAGCATTTCTGGAGAATATGGACCACTGAATATCTTAATAGACTGTAGACTCGACTTAAGTGGTTACTTACATCATTCAACAAGTGTGCAAGTGAATGATTTGGTGCTCCTTAAAGATGACAATGTGGTTCCCCTAAAGTGGCCACTTGCACGAATTATTGAAGTTTTTCCTGGACCTGATAAACAAATAAGGGTCGTACGGGTGAAAACTTCTCATGGGGAATTTCCTCGTTCGATTTTAAGTTAATGAAAAATTCTTAACTCTTGCTACTACCCTCCTTTGGGTAAATTGAAAATTAAACCTTTTTCAAAAAAATCTTCGAAAATATACATTGGCTTGAAGGATCATATCTGAAATCTAAGACTAACCCAATGGCATTCTCACATACATTTCTATTTCGGCAATCAGGGGCCAAACCTAATAAAACCTGGCAACTTCATGCCTTTTAGATTTCTCTAAGTATTGAGTCTATTACAATCTGGAATGTTGCTGGCGAGTTTTTAAGATCAAATGGCATTCTTACATATAGAAAATTTCTATAACTTGGTCTCGGCAATTAAGTACCAAACCTAATAAAACCTGGCACTTTCATGATAATAATCTTAAATTGAGTCTCTAAAACTTTCTTAGACTGTCCTGCAAAATATTTGGTTTTTGTTTTGTTTTGTGGTTCACTGTCTGCAATGGACTTGAGAACTATATAGATGCCATCCTAATACACTAACCATTGTCCCTTTTAGATTCCTCTAAGTATTGAGTCCATTACAATCTGGAATGTTGCAGGCGAGTTTCTGAGCCCAAATGGCATTCTTACATATATCCATGTCAGCTTCTCTCTTCTTTTGCGATAGCCAGGAATACTAAATTAAAATTCGACTTTTTGGCTGTTTTTCCTTATCATAATTGATTATTATTGATTGAGTAATTCCTAGGATATGAAACTAACCTATCAGTTGTAGAACAGTCATTTTGTAAAGTGAAAGGGCTCCTTAAAAAACTGTACTGTATTTAGAGGGCACAAGTTTAACATTCAAATTCTTGAAAACCCCCAATCCAAGAGCCAGGAATACTCTATTTAAATTCGACTTTTTGATAGTTTTTCTCTCAATTGATTTTCTAAGACATATATCTAACTCTTAGAACACTCAATTCATAAAGTAAAAGGGCTTCTAAAGAAATACTGTAAGCAATTAGAAGGACTTCAAACTTCCAGGATTTATTGAGTAGGGTCTTTTTATTAAACAGAACAAACCGCGAATGGATCCCAGGTTCAGAAATGGAATTATGAATTTTTTCTCACTTAGATGCAATAAAATCTTACAAAATTTCTATTAAATCATCTTTGGAAGCTTCTGAAAAATACTTCGAACAATTAGATGGACTTCAGACTTCCAGGATTTATTCAGTGGAGTCTTTCTATCAAACAGAACAAACCGCGAGTGGATCTCAAGCTCAAAAATAGAATTATGAATTTTTTCTCATTTAAATGCAAAAAATCTTTAAATATTTCAATCAAACCACCTTTGGAAGCTTCTGGAAAATATTTCAAGCAATCAAAGGGACTTCAAACTTTCAGGATTTATCGAGTAGTGTCTCTTTATCAACCAGAACAAATTGCGAATGGATATCAAGCTCTGAAATGGAGTTATGAATTTTTTCTCATTTAAATGCAAAAAATTCTTAAATATTTCTATCAAACTACCTTTGGAAGCTTCTGAAAAATACTTCAAGCAATCAAAGGGACTTCAAACTTTCAGGATTTAGTGAGTAGTGTCTTTTTATCAACCAGAACAAACCGCGAATGGATATCATGCTCAGAAATGGAGTTATGAATTTTTTCTCATTTAAATGCAAAAAATCTTTAAATATTTCTATCAAACCACCTTTGGAAGCTTCTGAAAAATACTTCAAGCAATCAAAGGGACTTCAAACTTTGAGGATTTATTGAGTAGTGTCTTTTTATCAACCAGAACAAATTGCGAATGGATATCAAGCTCAGAAATGGAGTTATGAATTTTTTCTCATTTAAATGCAAAAAAATCTTTAGATATTTCTATCAAACCACCTTTGGAAGCTTCTGAAAAATACTTCAAGCAATCAGAGACACTTTAAACTTTCAGAATTTATGGAGTAGGGTTTTTTAGCATCCAAGCAGTTCAAATCCAAATCAGAATTTCCAGGAACATTTTGGAACAATTTAGAATCTTCAGAGTTTTTTATTTCAGACAATTAGGATTCAATTTAGAAGTGGAAACCTTCTAGAACTCATTTGAACCAATTTAAAACTTCAATAGGACATACTTAAAAATGTTAGAAATTACTGAAAAATTTCTGAAATGTTCCAGAACAGCCAAGTTAGAACACTTTAGAATTTCAGTAAGCCATTTAGAACGTTCCAAATACGTTCTAGCAGCATTTTGAAAGGCTTCAGGACAATTTAAAAACCTGAGATTTATTTCAGAGAGTCTAGAGCCTGGAATAGACAAAAATTGAAAGTTAAAAAATGAGTTATAATAAGGAAATATTAGTCCTGAAGACGTCCTTAGGCAAACGTCTGAAATTTAAAGAAAAAAAAAACATTCAAGAGCCGAGAATAGTTACAAATTGAGAAATAGAGAGTGGAAATAAAGAAAATAATAATGATAAAAACTTGATAAACAAATAGAAAATAAACCCAAGTTAGATGCATTTTAAATAATTCATTTTCTATTGGAACACCCTGTATATTGCTCTTGTCTTGTGATTTCTATTTGAGAGAGCAAAAACTTGAAATTGAGAGAAAAATAAAAAAAGGAAAATTAGGAAAAATTGAATTATCTTGATTTGGAGAAATTTGAAGAAAACGAACACTCAAAAGCTGGGGATAGGCAGAAATTGAAACAGGAAAATTGAGAAATGATGGACAAAGGAAAATTAGGACAGTTATTGAGAAACATGATCGAAGAACAAAGGAAAGAAGCAATGCATTCTTCAAAAAAACCTTCAAGCAGATGCGATACCAAAAGCCAGGCAAAGTCAAAAATCCAAGAGGGACAAAAAACCAAATCAACCATTTGTTTGGGGTTTTCGAAGGAAACAAAACAAAATCCCAAATTGATGGAAATTCAACTAAAAATCTGATGAACATTATATTCCTGAACAAGACTGAAGTTTGAAAATTTTAAAGATCCAAACAGGACTGAAAACAAAAATCTAGAGATTTCAAAGCCCTTGAAGAACTAAATGACTGAGATCTTCATGGTTTCTCATATTTAAATTCGACTTTTTGATAGTTTTTCTCTTAATTGATTTTCTAAGACATATATCTAACTCTTAGAACACTCAATTCATAAAGTAAAAGGGCTTCTAAAAAAATTGCAATGTGTTTAAAGGCCTCAAAGGGCAAATGTTTAACATTCAAATCCTGAAAAAGGTTGTTTTTTCAAAAGTCCCTTTGAACTATTCCTTATTAAAATATCTGGTATTTTGAACATTTTTCTATATAATTTGAAAAACCTACCAATAATATACAAACGATTTAATTCTTTTTTAGCTCTGATTGGGATTGGCCATACAATTTCAGCATAAGTTTCACAAGAAAATTCAACAACATCAAATTAGTGTTTGAAATTCTATTTTGTCATCCACCTGGAGCACCGATCCAAGACTCGCCTACTGTGCAACCAATCAGGTAACTCATCTACTAATCAAATAATTTATTTTCAATAATAATTGTTTTAGGTTTTATTTCACGGAACAAACCAGAGTGAGTAGCACAACTGGGGGCGAAAACTCTGTAGTCCAAATGATTGGTTCTTTATATGACTCAATTGAAAGTCATTATGGTACTTTTGCTACAAGGCTTTATAGAGCTTTTAGACCCAAACCTGGTAACAACTATTATAACAGATAGATTTTAATATAAAGCATTTATGTTTTTAAGATAAATCCTCTACAACATGGACTTGGAGAAAAATGTGTTGCTTACCTTATGTGATAATATTTGAAATAACCTTTTGTATGATTATAGTTGGTTTGAGTGCTCTGACGTTTTATTTGAAAAGAGTTAATTCTGAAACAATGTAGGTTACAGCATATTGGCAAACAATAAATACTCGACTCAATTTTTTTAGGGATACATTAAGCATTGCTAAGCCAACTTTGGAAATAATTCTCATAGGAGCTGCTCTACTTTTAGCTGTAGCAATTATAGCTAATGCTTACACCTGGAGTAAACTTTTCATGTCCATATTGTTTTCACAAAGGAGACATTTGCAGAGATCCATATCTAAATTGGATACATTGAAAAGTGAAGGGTTTTTACAAACATTGAGACACGAGGTATGTTTTTCAATTTACTATGACAAAATTTGTAACATAAATGATTATTCTAGGTAAATCTAATGAAAGATATGGTGAAATGTTTGGACGGTCTCAGTGCCCAACAAACTCGTCTAGTGATTGTAGTGGACGGTTTGGATAGTTGCGAACAGGAAAAAGTCTTACTAATACTCGACACTGTGCACATGTTGTTTTCAGATGCAAATTCTCCTTTTATTGTGATATTGGCTATAGATCCTCACGTGATTGCTAAGGTATGTAGCTAAAATTTTCTTTGAAGCTCAAAAAGACATCACCATGCTACACTAACTTGCACTAATACACTGATTTTGCTTTTATAATATGATTATAATTAGTTTAAATGCGGCTTTTCTTTTTTTTTAATTGTTGACTTTAGGAGCTTAAAGGGGAAAGGGAAACTAATAGGTGCCTCTCCCATTTTTTTGGACAGGTTGCTTGCGATCAGGTTAGTTCTAAGTGTCTGTAACTAACAAGTAACAAGCATTTTTCCTTAAAATAAAAATGTTTGTTGCTATATTTGTGTTGTGATTTTTGGGTTTTTGTCACTTACAAACACCTTCTAATTAATCTTGAAATCCTTTAGGCTGTTGAACTAAATGCGCGTCGACTTTTTTCCGAAAGCAACATAGGAGGCCATAGTTACTTAAACAACATGATTCATTTGCCGTTTTACCTACAAAACTCAGGCCTAAGAAAAGTCAAAATAGCCCAGCAAACAGCTTTCGCCCACAGAAAAGCTCAGGCCAGTACCGGAGGATGGGCAGAAAACGATGAAAACTTGAATACATTCCTTGCCAGATCTTCATCAAGTAGGAGATTGTCTAATGAAAACACTTTAGTGTCTGCCAGTAAAGAAAACTTGAAGTATGTTGGTAGAAAAGGTTCGAGGAAGTTGAAACTTTCTGAATCAGTTGCTAGTTCTATTGGATCGAATTTAAATAGGATAGGTGGGGCACAAGATTTGACAAAAATGCTGCTCACAGATGATTATTTTAGTGATGTAAATCCACGGTCAATGAGAAGACTTATGAATGTGGTTTATGTTACAGGTAAAGTTTATTATAACGATTTTGTAAGCATTGTTTTCAATATCATATTCCAGGTCGTTTACTTAAAGCATTTCAAATTGACTTTAATTGGTACCGTTTAGCATCTTGGATTAACATTACTGAACAATGGCCTTTTAGAACATCGTGGATTATTTATCATTTCGATTTATATGAGGATCAGTTGGAAGACAGTACACCACTTAAGACAATTTACGATAAGTAATGCTTTAAGATTAGAAAATATTGTGTATTTATACAAAAATGTTTTCAGAATCAAGCTACTGATTCCATCAATTAAAGAAAGCGAACCTTTACTTGAATTAGACAGAGATGAGAAAAAGTTTGATATATTTTTAACATTCCACAGATCCAGTTTGTTAGTTAGTGACCTTAAGATATTTATACCGTTTACTATTAATTTGGATCCGTACTTGAAAAAAGTGATTAAAGGTGAGCAGTCTAATGATTCCTGTACTGTTAGATACATTTGAATTTTTAGAAGAAACTCAATCCATTGAAGAAGACAGATTAGTGTTCCGTCAACAAACACCTTACCAAACACTTCAGCAACAACCAATGCAAGCTTGGAACGCTCACGTAAATTCTGAATGGAATCAAACCCCCCAAAGGCAGTATATAACTCCTCAGACTTTAAGAGAAAGACGACAGGTATTTTCTCTTGATTCCAAACAACTAGAATTTATTTAAACTGTTAATTTTCTACAGGGTGTTGTTAGTATGTCAAAAGTTGGTCAGCCTCCTGGGATGTCTTATCAACAAGCTGCGCCTTGGACAGAATTTGAACATAGACCACCAGTAGCTATTTTAGAGGTAAGTTTCAATTATTAAGAGTAAACATTATTATATTGACATTATATTTGTAGCCTGAAACTTTGAAAATAAGATTGTCCAACATGAATGTAGAGGGTGTTTGTCAATTACTATCCACAATGGAGGATTTGAATCAAAACGCTGTTCCAGAGTATATAAGGTTGATCAAAGACAACAATATTAATGGCAGAGTTTTGCTGCATTGTGATTTAGATGATTTGAAAAAGGTGAGTGTATAATTCTAAAATTGATTGACTCTAAAATAATAATTTTAGTTATTGAAAATGTCTTTCGGTGATTGGGAAATGTTCAAAGTCACGATAATTCAACTGAGGGAGTATGAAATTACTAGTATTTTAAACCAAGACGACAGTGCATTGAATGTTAGAAAACCAGAAAGAAAAGGTAATTGAATTGTGCTAAACTAGATTAATTTGAAATTTGGAGGTAATTGAAGTGTTTTGATTTTTTCCTGTAATCTTAGAAACACTCTTATGTTCTAAGATTTCTATATCTCCATATCCTTGAACATCAAAAGTCAACTTTTGCTTATTCCCGGTTCTTGATTTGAACTAACCTAATCCAAAAGCCACGAATATCTTATTCATTAGGACGCAAAATCTCGGCAAAAAGAAATTATGATTTAGATTTTGGAAAACTTTGAAGTCATAACTTTTTTTCTATTATAGATAGAAAGCTGAAACTTTTACTGAATTTTATCCCAATCAAGGGACTACAATCCCTGAAAATTTCAGCTCATTTGCACTTATGGTTCCTGAGATAAAATCGTGTTAGGCAATTTGGGGTGATTTATCAATTTTTCAATTTTTCTGAGTGCCTTTTTTCGAAGATTTCAACTTCAAATCTGAGAATAATTTAGTGTATGGAGTTTGGGAGAAGTTGACTAACCATTAGGACACAAAATCTCAACAATAAAAAAATTGAAATTTCATTGTTTTAGTAAGAAGGTACCTACCTACCTTATGATTTAGATTTTGGAAAACTTTGAAAGGTCATAACTTTTTTTCTATTATAGATAGAAAGCTGAAACTTTCACTGAATTTTATCCCTTTCAAGGGACTACAATCCCTAGCAATTTAAGCTCGTTTGCACTTATAGTTCCTGAGATAAAATCGTGTTAAGCAATTTGGGGTGATTTATCAATTTTTCAATTTTTCTGAGTGCTTTTTTTCATAGATTTCGGCTTCAAATCTGAGAATAATTTAGTGTATGGAGTTTGGGGTATGTTGATTGACCATTAGGATACAAAATCTCAACAAAAAAAAAATTTGAAATTTCATCGTTTTAGATTTTGGAAAATTTTGAAAGGTCATAACTTTTTTTCTATTATAGATAGAAAGCTGAAACTTCCACTGAATTTTATCCCAACCAAGGAACTACAATCCCTCAAAATTTCAGCTCATTTGCACTTATAGTTCCTGAGATAAAATCGTGTTAAGCAATTTGGGGTGATTTATCATTTTTTCTGAGTGCCTTTTTTCATAGATTTGGGCTTCAAATCTGAGAATTATTTAGTGTATGGAGCTTGAGGGATGTTAATTGACCATTAGGATACAAAATTTCAACAATAAAAAAATTGAAATTTCATTGTTTTAGTAAGAAGGTACCTACCTACCTTATGATTTAGATTTTGGAAAACTTTGAAAGGTCATAACTTTTTTTCTATTATAGATAGAAAGCTGAAACTTTCACTGAATTTTATCCCTTTCAAGGGACTACAATCCCTAGAAATTTAAGCTCATTTGCACTTATAGTTCCTGAGATAAAATCGTGCTAAGCAATTGTGGTAATTTATCAATTTTTCAATTTTTCTGAGTGCCTTTTTTCATAGATTCCGGCTTCAAATCTGAGAATAATTAGTGTATGGAGTTTGGGGTATGTTGATTGACCATTAGGATACAAAATCTCGACAAAAAAAAATTTGAAATATCATCGTTTTAGTAAGAAGGTGGTTTAGGTTTTGGAAAAATTTGAAAGATCAGAATTTTTTTCTATTATAGATAGAAAGCTGAAACTTCCACTGAATTTTATCCCAATCAAGGGACTACAATTCCTGAAAATTTAAGCTCATTTGCACTTATAGTTCCTGAGATAAAATCGTGTTAAGCAATTTGAGGAGATTTATCAATTTTTCAATTTCTCTGAGTGTCTTTTTTCATAGATTTCGGCTTCAAATCTGAGAATAATTTAGTGTATGGAATTTGGGGGAAGTTGAGTCACCATTAATCTTAATAAAATTCTACTGTTTGGCTGTTTCACTCTCATAAGACTTTGGTTGGGCAGTTTACAGGGTCTTGAGTTTAAACCTCTCAAATTTTTCTTGAAAGATGCATTGCAAATTTTGTTATTCATGTTTTAATTTTTCTCCTGTAATATTGGAAATACATACTCTAATCTAAGATTTCCAAGGGGTAAACCACCTCCATGAATTTATGCAAACAATTCCTGAAACTTCTCGTAAATAATCCTATCCAAGAGCGTGGAATATCTGATTAAAATTCTATTGTTTGGCTGTTTCACTCTTATTAATAATTCGAATTTCTGATATTTTGGGTTTTTTGGGCACTTAACAGGGTCTTCAGTTTACATTGATAGCCTCTTAAATTTTTCTTAGAAGAAAGACATTATGCAAAGGCAAATTTTGTCATTTGTGTTTTGATTTTTCTCCTATAATATTGGAAATACATACTCCAATTTTCTAAGATTTCCAAGGGGTAAACCACCTCCTCGAATTTGTGCAAACAATTCCTGAAACTTCTCGTAAATAATCCAATCCAAGAGCCAGGAATATTTGATTAAAATTCTATTGTTTGGCTGTTTCACTCTTATTAATAATTCGAATTTCTGATATTTTGGGTTTTTTGGGCACTTAACAGGGTCTTCAATTTACATTGATAGCCTCTTAAATTTTTCTTAAAAGAAAAACATTATGCAAAGGCAAATTTTGTCATTCGTATTTTGATTTTTCTCCTGTAATATTGGAAATACATACTCTAATTTTCTAAGATTTCCAAGGGGTAAACCACCTCTTCGAATTTGTGCAAACAATTCCTGAAACTTCTCGAATGTAATACCACAAGAGGTTTCAGGATTACCGGATAATACTTTTACCTGGCACGAAACGCGTTACGCAGCAACACCACGACTCCGAAGGAGGAGTGGTGTTTCTGGTAACGCGTTGAGTGTCAGGTAAAAGTATTAGGTAATCCTGAAACATCGAGTGGTATTCAAAAGATTATACAACGAACTAAACTTGAATACTTTGAAATTTTAAAAATTTTCTATAATAGAATTTGCCATAAATGCCACCAAGCCCGATAATCCCAAAAGGCTTATCACTTATTAAGCCTTTCGTGTCATATGGGAATAATGTACAGTGAGTTGTATAATCGTAAATAATCCAATCCAAGAGCCAGGAATATCTGATTAAAATTCTATTGTTTGGCTCTTATTAATAATTCGAATTTCTGATATTTTGGGTTTTTTAGGCACTCAACAGGGTCTTCAGTTTACATTGATAGCCTCTTAAATTTTTCTCAAAAGAAAGACATTATGCAAACGCAAATTTTGTCATTCGTGTTTTGATTTTTCTCCTGTAATATTGGAAATACATACTCTAATCTTCCAAGATTTCCAAGGGGTAAACCACCTCCGTGAATTTTCGCAAACAATTCCTGAAACATCTCGTTAATTCCTCCAAATTCCCGACAAATTCCTCCAAACTGCTCACAAAATCCCTGCAAATACCAATAAATTCGCCCAATTTCTCATACATTTCTCCAATTTCCCATAAATTCCTTCAAATTCTCCACAAATTCCTCTAAATTCCTCAGAGTTTTGGCAAAGAATTTCTAGGTGATTTACTCCTTAAAAGTAAACGATCTGAAGAAAATTTCTATTTTTTCCCAAATTTCAATCTTTTCTCTATTCACTTGCCAAAATTTCAATCAAATACCTGAAATATTTTCTACAAAATAAATAATGAAACATACCCCAATGTAATTTTTCGGATACTTGATTTCTTCTAAAACGACATTGACACATACAGGAGACACCCTGTATGTTCAACTGGTCAAAAATGCTAAGGTATATAGAGGAACCATAGAGAAGTAGTTTGAGATAGGACACCAATGGTTGGAAGTGCGTCGTTTCCAAAATACAGGGTGTTGAAATTTAAACAACCCCCTTTCATATCATCTGAAGGGCTAATACTAGACTGTTCAAATTTTCAGGGATTATTGATGTTACATCAATAATATCATTCCTACATCAATGATGTAGGAATGATATTTAAGAATTCGTATAAAGCACCTCCATTTTCTACCTGGAACCACACCAATTTTTATTTTTTTTCTTAAATTTCAATCCTCTCATCATCCACTTGGGAAATTTAAAGCCAATCCTTCAAGCACATTCCTCAAAAAAAAAAAACGTCCTTCAATGTCGTTTTTTGAAGCTTGATCTTTTCCAAAATGACATTGAACCACATTTTACCTCACATCTTTGTTAATTTCAATCCAATCTTAATGTAATTAGGCTTGAAATGAAGCCAATTAAATCCTTCACAAATCTCCACTGAATTTTTTCAATGCAACTTCAATAGTTTTGCAGCTGCAAAGCTTTAGAGCCTTGCCAATGCTTGTTACCAATTTCCTGAAAGTTCCCCAAATTGTTGGGGGTTGGTTTTAACTCTAAGGTAAACATGTCCGGTTGCAATGTTTATATTGGAGTTATCCTTAACCCGGAGGTGACTTGCTATGAAGAAACCGGCCCTTAAAACCAATAAATTCCCCCAATTTCTTATACATTCATTTGAACTAATTTAATCCAAGAATCAGGAATACCTGAATAAAATTCGACTCGTTGGCTCTTTCCCTTTCATAAAACTAGTACTAATTCCAATGTTTTGTCTCAAATTCTTTTCACAAGAAACACATATAATGACAAGACTTAAGATTTCTATATCTAGTGATTGATAAGACTAAATTAATTTTCAATTTGTAGGCAGTATTAAAACAACAAGCAGTGGCATGGATAAAACAGACAGCAAAATGCAAACAGAAGTACCCAGAGAAAGGAAACAAAGCATCATAGAAAAACAGGTAAGAATTTCCAGCAAACAACTACTGAAACATCATCATCATCATTGCTATTCTAGCAAATTCCATTCTAATGTATGTAAAATCTTGTTTTTACGCACTCATTAATTACAGTACCAGGTATGTATGATTAGATGTTTCACACACTAAAAATCTCTTTTAAAATTTTAGTTGTTTTAACACATTTTCTGTATCAGGTTACTCTAGAAGAACAAATGATTTGTGGCGCCCTCCAAACCCTAAACGAAGAAGCCTGCGAAGATGTTTTTGAAGAAACCGAAGAAACCAAAATCACAATCGATGTGGATTTGCCTCAGACTTCGGTGATACCGCCGAGTCCGGATTGTCCGCAAGGTGAATCACTTTTACAGTCAGTTTACAGAAAGCCTAGCATCACTTATGTAGAAAAAAGTATTAAAAAGGTCACTTATGAGGATGATATTGAAAACAATATCGATAGTAAGGAAAATAAATCTAATCCGACTATTATGGTCACTGATGGTGATAGTAGTTAACTGGTTTATTTGTTAGAGATAAAAATATTGATCTGCTTAGCGTAAGGTATAGTTGTTTTGCTTTAAACTGCCATAGATAGTTATGTATAATGGAGACAAGGTAATTTCAGTAAACTAATAATGATGCACTTTTGAAGCTTTTACCACCCTTACTAACAAAATTGTTCACAGTTATTGAATTCACATTTGAATGGTAGTTTTGTGAAAAAAAATTAAATCGGTTTTAGTCAGGTGAAGTAGAAACCCAAAAAATTTACTCAAGACTTTAAGTAAATGGATTAAATTTTCAGCATCTTTTCCTACATATGATTTACTTATGAGAGGATGTTCATGGTTCTAATAAATCCAAATTTTTATTTTTCCCCTGTTGATCCTTACAGGCGGTTGTAAGGTGAAATTTTGACTCCGATATACTCATACTTTTCTTTATTCTAAAATCATCAAAGACCTTTCCAGCAAGATTTCAGCTATTTTGATGCAACAAAAATACCAAAAATTTGTGTTCACATTGTCGTATGTATACAGTATTAACATTTTCAAAATTTCAGGGTTTTAATATTTTTTTACAAGAATACCATTATAAACCTTGTTATTTATTTTATATTTATTTTATTTATTAATAATTTTTTAGTTGTTAAGTCATTTTTGTAAATATTTTATTCGAAACAAATAAAGCGTTATATAAAATTCTTTGCACTGTATTATTTTTAAGTGCCGTTTTATCACAATTTTATGTTTTATGTTAAGTTTGTCTGTTTATATGTTCAATGTTTGTTTGCGAATTCAATAACTGATGAATTTGTGCATGTCTGAATAATTGCATGTGGTTTGTAAGTTTTGCATGTTATTTTAGCAATTGGAACTGGGTTTACAGAGAAAAAGGAACTTATATGTACTTCAATCTTCAAAAATAGCCAAAATCTGTGAACATAATTGGAATTCTGAATTTTGGAAATTTCAGTATTTGGATTGGAGTACTTGGTTTGTCAAAATTTTCAAGTATTTAGTATATTGTAGAGTGCTCCTTATAATATATTTCGACTTTTGTGGGCGCGTCGGAGTTACAAGCTGAAATTTTCACAGAATGAAGGTTTCATTATGTTAACTCAAAATCCCAAAGTAATACAAAATTAGAACGGGCAAAAGGGCACAATATTTAAAAATTGAGATTATTGCATGAACATATAGAATACTAATTTATAACTGTTTTCATACATTTCGGGATGATAGATTAATCGAAAGAGCGGCTCAAAATTAGTGAAAAACAACCCTGATATCAATTCCAAATTCCCATTTTAGGCAGAAACAAAAATAAAAAGAAAATCCTATTTTTGGCTCTGGAAAATTTTCTAAATCTTGACATGGTCATGAATAATTGCCCATATCTTTGGTAAATTTTGAGCAAATTGAAATAAATTATACATCCTTGAAAATAGCATCAAATTCTCTATAAATCTGTGTAAAATTAAGTTCGAAGGCTCGGATAGTTTTTGAGCAATTGAGCCTCAAAGTTGACTTTTAGTCCAAATTTTGTCAAAAACTTCAAGCTCAATTTGCTCAAAAACTATAAATCTGGAAATATTGTAAATTACAGGCTATTTGGAACTTAATAAAAGCTACAGATTCTGGAAATTTTAATGCAATTTGCTCAACGGTTACCGAGCAATTGAGGTTTGAATATTTTGAAATCAGAATTCAAAGAGGGTACCCTTATGAAAAATTCGATTTTTTGATTTTTTAGTTTTGCTCAATTTTGACTTTATGAATCGATAGAGCGGCTCAAAATTAGTGAAAAACAACCCTGATATCAATTCCAAATTCCCATTTTAGGCAGAAACAAAAATCAAAACAAAATCCTATTTTTGGCTCTGGAAAATGTTCAAAATTTTGACATGGTCATGAGTAATTGCCCATATCTTTAGTGAATTTTAAGCAAACTGAAATAAATTACACATCAATGAAAAGAGCATTAAATTCTCTATAAATCTATGCAAAATTGAGTTCGAAGGCTCAGATAGTTTTTGAGCAATTGAGCCTCAAAGTTGACTTTTAGTCCAAATTTTGTCAAAAACTTCAAACTCAATTTGCTCAAAAACTATAAATCTGGAAATATTGTAAATTACAGGCCATTTGGACCTTAATAAAAGCTACAAATTCTGGAAATTTTAATGCAATTTGCTCAACGGTTATCAGGCAATTGAGGTTTGAATATTTTGAAATCAGAATTCAAAGGGGGTACTCTTATGAAAAATTCGATTTTTTTATTTTTGGTTTTGCTCAATTTTGACTTCATGAGCGGGTCAGAATTAGTGGAAAACAACCCTGATATCAATTCCAAATGGCTATTTTAAGCAGACACAAAAATAAAAAGAAAATCCTATTTTTGGCTCTGGAGAATTTTCAAAATCCTGACATGGGTATGAACAATTGCCCATATCTTTGGTAAATTTTGAGCAAATTGAAAGAAATTATATACCATTGGAAAGAGCATTAAATTCTTTATAAATCTGTGCAAAATTAAATTTGATAGCTCAATAAGTTTTTGAGCAATTGAGCCTCAATCTCAATTTTTAAATATACTGCCCTTTTGTCTGTTGTGATTTTGTATTACTTTGGGATTTTGAATTAACATTATAAAACCTTCATTCTGTGCAAGTTTTAGCTTGTAACCTCGACGCGCCTACAAAACTCATTTTTAGTAGTCTTTAACTGCGTTGGGCACTCTACTAATAGATTTGGAGGATATCAAAGTCTTAAATAAAATTCATGTTTCTTGATTACCACCAAGATTTTAAAGACTGCACGACTCTCAAATATCATGACAAAGACTATGAAAATACAGAATTAAAAAATCTTGAAGTCTTTACAGTGAAATATTCAAAAATAACCAAAACCAATTCTGAAATCTTAGTATTTGAATACTTACTGATTAAGCGACTTCGTATCTCTTACCGTTTCCCAGATCTCCATACTGGCCCTCCTTATCTTGGACACATTGTATAAAGAAATTATTATACTTGGTTTTATCAAAATTTTCAAGTATTGAGTACCTATGGATTTGGAGGATATCAAAGTCTTGAGTAAAATTCATGTTTCTTGATTACCACTGAGAATTGGGAGACTCTGCTGATTTTTCTGAGACTCTTTATCTGAAGCCTTTGAAAATTATAAAAACATATTGATGACTGATGAGGCTCATGAATTAGGACTAAGATCTTGAAGACTGCAAGAGTGTCAAAATATCATAACTTTAAGACTATGAAGATCCTGAAGAATATATTCTCAAGACTCACAGTGAAATCTTCAAAAATAGTCAAAACCAGTGGAAATTGAATTTCTGAATTTTGAGAATTTCACATAGGTATATTATTTCTATTCCAGGTTCTTGATGATTTTTTTTTTTTATTTGGAGAAATTTAGAAAAAATTCAAGAGCCGGTAATAGACAAAAATTGAGAAGAAAATACTGAGAAATACAGGGAAGAAGTTTGAGAAAAATCAAGACAAAATTGGTAAACATAAGTATAGTTTCTATTCCAGGCTCATGATGAATTTTCTTTATTTGGAGAAATTTAGAAAATATTCAAGAGTTGGTACTTAATAAACAAAAATTGAAAAAAAAAAAAAAAAAAATGAGAAATCCAGGGGGGAAGTTTGAGAAAAATAAAGACAAAATTAATAAACCTACATATATTGTTTCTATTCCAGGCTCCTAATAAATTTTTTATTAGGAGAAATTTAGAAAAGATTCAAGAGCCGGTAATCAAGAAAAATTGAGAAGAAAATACTGAGAAATACAGGGAGGAAGTTTGAGAAAAATCGAGACAAAATTAATAAAAATACGTATATTGTTTCTATTTTAGGCTCTTGATAAATTTTCTTTATTTGCAGAAATTTAGAAAAGATTCAAGAGCCGGTAATAGACAAAAATTGAGAAGAAAAAACTGAGAAATACAGGGAGGAAGTTTGAGAAAAATCGAGACAAAATTAATAAAAATACGTATATTGTTTCTATTTTAGGCTCTTGATAAATTTTCTTTATTTGCAGAAATTTATAAAAGATTCAAGAGCCGGTAATAGACAAAAATTGAGAAGAAAATACTGAGAAATACAGGGAGGAAGTTTGAGAAAAATCGAGACAAAATTAATAAACATACGCAGTTAGGTGGTTTATCAAAATTTTCAAGTATTGAGTATGGATTTGGAGGATATCAAAGTATTAACTAAGATTCATGATTCTTTACCACTGAAACTTGAAAGTGACTTAAAAACTAAAGACACAATAAGACTTGAAAGATTCCAAGAGCTTCGAAGACTAATTTTTTTTAGAAATTAAAACAAGGACTGCGAAGATTCTGCTGATTAAAACCCGGTTTATTCATCTTATTATTAACTTATTGGTAACTGTCTATAAGACAAATAAATATACCAAAGTAGTATTCGGCGCCCACCAATAGCGTTTTTATTCGTCAGATTGCATTACCCGACAGTTTGTCATAAGATGAATAAACCGGGCCTAGATAACTGAAAGTATATCTTCCACTCCCAGCCACAAATTCATTTTTCCTTATCAAAGATACTTTAATTCCCAAATCCCAAATACGGTACCGGAAAGTATTTTTCATAGTGACCTTAGAACTGAATTCAGAAGATACTGAAAAATTTAGAGAGTTCGAAAATTGAAGACTTTAGAGTTGCTCAAAGCTCATAAGAGAAGAGACTTTGAATATATTGAAGAAACGCCAAAAAATTTCAAGATTTTGAATGTTCTGAGGATTTTTATTTGAAACTCTAAAAAATCCAAAAAACTTGAAGACTAAGATTCATGACTTTAGAGCTT